TGCAAAAAACCGACTTGCAAAATTGAAAATAATACGCCGAAAAAAAACATTGGCTAAATGTTGGCCCAACAGAATAAACTTGCCAATGTTAAAACTTACATTGGGCCAATGTAAGCTTGCTGTCTGGGTTATGTATGGTTTTACTTATCTTTTAAGAAAAGTTTTTCTGCAACAAAAAAAACTAGTAATTACTTTAATTTATGTTAGTTTATCCTCCTCGTATTATGTTATTTGTACTTACTCTTATGCGGAGAAAAATAGTTATATTTGTTCATTTAACATCTGGCTGCCATGGCTACAACATCTGTTAAAATAGCTTAAATGATAGTCAACGGGTGACGGATAAAAGCATTTATTCTAATACATATGTTAATGTTACCTATGTCAAAGTAACCCCGTGTTATCTTGATTTAACTTGTATTATCTACCGCCTTCTCAATCCTAATAAAAATTGTTTAGCAAATGGAAAAAATTACTAAAAAAAACAAATGAAAAAAAACAGACTGCACGGGATACTTTTGCAGTATGTGGTCTTACATTATGCAATGCTTCAGTTGCGAAGAAACTTATGGGTAATAGATGACTCGAGATTATTGTGCCAAGATCTTTTGTTCACAAAATGACCTAGAGATCCACAAAAATACAAAATGTTTAAAATTGCAAATAAGTTACAACATAACCTAGGTTAAAGCGAACCATACAAGAATCAAATCTATTCTAGTTTGTTTGTAGTAATAGTTCTTGCATTTTAGCGCAAATTGCTTTGAAACTACACTGAAGGATAAATAAGTTAAGTAAAAAAATTTCATATGATTTGTGGAAATTTTGTGGAAAACTCCGAAGTTAAACGCAGTGTTATAGGTAACTAACCACGGTTTTCCCTACAAATCTTTAGCTTTATGTCTATTTTTTAAATTGTAATGTTTTTTCTACTTTTAAGTTTGAAAACCATAAATCAAACCTATTGCAAAAAGCTAATAAAATCTTTATTATCGCATAATTTTCCTATCTCTGTTTTTTCAAACCCTATAAATCTATTGATGGTCGTTTTGTAGTATGGTTGTCATTATTATCATTATCAGCTTTTCTCTTGTACCCAATCATATATATTTGTCGCTTTTAAAGATTTTGACAAGAAGAAACATGGTTGCTTCTCAAACAAGCTACCATCTCTAGTTTTTTTCAAAATTTATTCTGTTGTAACTTGTCATTCAGTTAAATTACATTTTTTCACAAAAATTGTTGCTTTGTCCTTAGAATACTTTTTTTATCTAGTTTTTTTTTTTTTTTTTTTTTTTTTTTTTCGCATATATTAGCATTATTAACAACTTTGTTCTTTCGTCGTATTTTTTTTAATTTTTTTTTTGTGTTGCGTGTTGATTTATAGAGTATGCAGGATTTGATCTTTCTTATTGATAATTTTTTTTTCTTAACACTTACTTTTATCTTCTTTATATTTATCTGGTAGAGCTGCTCAATAGTATCTAAAAAAAAAAAGATTAAAAATAGAGTAGCTTTGCTTTTGCATATACATTTTTACGCATTTTCACTTGTTTACTAAAACTTATTTCATTCAATTGTTATCAATTTTATTTATATTCATTAATCTCTCTAAAAACTTTTGAAAAATTTTTTATAAATTGTATTGTTAAAGTTTATTATATTAATGATAAACAAACAATAATTTTGTCATGAACATGTTTTTTTAGCATTATTACACATCATTTAAGTTTGTTATGACCATGATTTTTTTAGCATCATTACACATCTATTACGATCATGATCTTTTTTAGAATCATTAAGTTTTGTAATAATTATCATTTAAGTTTGTTATGACCATGATTTTTTTTAGCATCATTACACGTCATTTAAGTTTGTTATGACCATGATTTTTTTTAGCATAATTACACGTCATTTAAGTTTGTTATGACCTTGATTTTTTTTAGTATCATTACAAATCATTTAGGCTTATACTAATGGAGTAAAACTAGCCTTTTTTTTTTTTTTTGCTGACGTTATGTAAATGACGTTTTTGCTGCCTTTCCATCGGAAAGTCTGATTTATTCTTAGATTATATTAATAACAACTATTGTTCTATTTCTTTTACATTTAAAAATTAAAATAAATTAAAAACTTGTTGTTTAGACAACTCTAAGTAAATTAAACAGCTTCAACACGTACACGTCTTGGTTTATTGTGAAAATCCACAGTTCTTATCTAAAGCTAAAAACGTTTCTAAACAAAGCTAAAACGTTTCTAAACAAAGCTAAAACGTTTCTTATCTGAGTAAAACTATTTTTACTACAGTTCAAAAATCAAACTGTTGTTGTTTTTAACTACCATATATTAGTAAGTGTTTGACATAACCAAACAAAAATAAACGCAATAACAAAAATACATTGTCGGTCACAGTAATATTGGTTTTTGTTTCCCTAAAAGTTTGAAACTTTTCTCCAAAAAATATTTTTTCTATAGATTTTATATTCTTTATTGCTTAAAAATTTAAAAATGAGGATATAAATCTTATTATATTATCGAAACTTTTCGCCATCTCAAGACATGGTTAAACTTTAAAGGGTTCCATCATTTGTGTCTGTAATTGTCGATTAGTTAAATACTCGCATATTTTCAAACATCTTTACTCAAATAAAAGTTGCTAAGTTTATTTGTTTTTTATTTTTTGGATTCTGCTTTCGACAAATTTAATATAAAATTTCAAGAGAGTTTGCACAATGAGTGGAAACAAGTGAACTATGTAAAAATAAACAAGCGAATTATGTAAAAACTTTGATGTAGTATCTTAGTAATCAGTTGTTTTTTTTTGTTTTTTTTTAATTTTGTTGACATTTGTTTTTAATTGCTATTATATCGATAATGACAATTTAAAATATTATTATTAGGATTTTTCTAATTATATGTGGTTTTCATATTTTTTTATTTTCAACTTTATTTAGTTTTATACTAAATTTACTTTAATATATTTCATTTATACTTTAACCAAAGATGACCTAATAAAAAGTAAGTAAATAATTAAATATAAAAAAAAACTTTGTCGATACGTATAATTTTTATCGGCAAACTATTATTTTTTTTTGAAAAACATGTAGTTAGATTACATTAAACTAATGTGGGATGGATGATGATGGGGTTAAAGTATAAAGTTTTTCATTTAATTAAATGTTGTTTAACTAATATCTTAGATAAAATCGTTTCTAAATTGTTTATATAATAGATATATTTAAAAGAAACTACGATAGATTACTTAAATCAAAATTATACAAGTAATATAACTTTACTTTGATCCTATTTAGTTTATTTAAATATTAGCAGACGATTAATTTTGTGGAATGGTTTCGTTATCGATAAAAGAATTATAGGCGGCGCTATTTCACATTTTGCGACTTTGTTTTACAAGTTTTTTATTTTTTATTAGCGTTTCTTATAATAATATTTATAAGAATTTTGTAGAAAAGTTTTGTTTATACTTTCATATAAAACATAAAGTGATTTATAAACTTTTAAATTATTTTTTTTTACTTTAGTATAATATTAACTATTTTTAAGTAAAAAGTTTCACAAAGCAATACCTGGAATACAATAAAAGTAACAGCACAAAACGTTACTTAAAGTCAAATATATATATATATATATATATATATATATATATATATATATATATATATATATATATATATATATATATATATATATATATATATATATATATATATATATATATATATATATATATATATATACACGTTAAAAGCATAACAGAATCACGAAGAATGTCAAACATTCTATAACTTAATAATTTGACGTCAAAGAGATATAACTTTTAAATAAGTTCTTAGTTCATGGAATTAGACTTTAAAAACATATCTAGATTAGATCATATTTATTTTTGACATTTTACAAAAATAACACTTGTTGCAATATGAAAATGCTAAATTTTATTCGCCATATTTTTAATGAAAAAATAATGTAAAAACTTTTTGTTGTTTTTTATTTACACTAAAAAGTTGAATTTATAACAAACTTTAAATTTGAATTAAAAAAAAAAAAGTAATGTGAAATATCTATGAAGTTTTTGGTTGAATAGTATACCTTTTACATTAGTATATCAGATGTTTTATAACTTAAGAATATATAGTTAATAAATATACGGTTTGGAAAATGTAAAGCACTCAAGTATATTGATTTTAAAAATCTTTTTCTATTAAGTTTACAGCATCTTATTTAAGCTGCCATTTAAAAAAAAATTATTTAACCAGAGTATCCAACGATAAAAGAGTTAAAACGGTTGTGCAAATAGTAATTGGCATCGTAAAAAATAGTATGGAGCGCTACTCACAGAGCCGACGACACTAGGGGGCCAGGGGAGGGAGGCCCCACCGCCCCCATTTTTTTTTTAACGGACCTTTTTCTTTTTAAGAAATTTCTAGATATAGAGAACTTTTTAAAAAAATTGACGATTGAGCCCCTCCACTTTGAAACCCGTGTCGTCGGCCCTGACTCATCCCAACCAGTGCGCAATCCAAAAGCTTTTAGTCAAAAGTTAAAAAATTTCACTTTTTTTTTTTATTAAATGTTATTAAATCAATTTTTAAAGTTTGAAACAAAAATTAAAACAACTAAATAAACTCTCAAAATAAAAATATTTTGGAACAAAAATCTTTAAAATATTCAAAGATTGATTTGGCATTGTGTACAAAACGTTACAAATTGAAAAAAATTAATTTTTTTTTTTTTTTTTTGCACTTGTTTAACTTACCTTTATTTACTTTAATTTTCAATTATTTACGGATTTTTTTTGTTGCTGTTGCTAATTCTTGATAATTTGCATGCTTTTTTTTTTTTGTTTTTGTTTTTCTTTTTTTTATACTGGGTAATTTTCAGTTAATTTTAAACTAAATAAATTTATTAATTAGATACATAGATTAACTGTTTAAAAACCTGATGTAATTATCAAAATGATATTAATAAAAATAGCCAAAACGTCACACATAATTTAATTTATTCTCAAAATATCTATATCAGAATATATACATCAGTCTTTTTTAGTTTTATTAAATAAATTCGTTAAATAAATATTTCTAAAAATATTTCTAAATAATATACACAGGTAATAAAAAATTTACAGCGCTATGAATTACTGTAAAAAATTTACAGCAAAAAAAATGATTTACTGTAAAAGTGTTGTCAATCTGTATTAAAACGTAACTTAAAGTTAACGATAAATTAAAGTTAACGATAAATTAAAGTTTATCGCTTGTTTTCGATAACCACCGTTTTTGTTGCATGAACTGTTTTTTCTTGGTTGACTTTTCTTTCCTTAAAAACAAATTTATCTTGTAAATTAATTTATTTCTTACACATTTTACACTAGTTAATCACAAATTATTGTTTACACATGGCTAAAAATAATTGTATACACCGTGTGTTTCACTCGTAGTTATAAATGGTGATCACTCTTATTTTAAAAAAAAAATCATAAAAGAATTTTTACTATTTTTGAAAGTAGTTGCAGAAAGTCCAAGCTTTGGTCTTCAATGCATTTTTTATTTGAACATATAAAACCAAGTGAGCAATCTTCATTATGTTGACAACTTGTCACTTTTCTCTGGGAAAAAAAAAGGAAGTCTAAAGAATATTGCTTAATTGTGTAAAAAAAAAACACACAAAACATATTTTTACCACCACTAAGTTATATTAACACAAAACGTTTTATCAAAATAAAATCATCATGAATAATTAGTAAAGACCAAGTAGCCTTTATTGATGGTCCAACTGGTTTTTTGTTAGTTATTGCATATTGGCCCATTCATATTTTGTGTTATTTGGCCCAAAATCAGGTACTGTAGATGTCGCATTGGCATATGAGTTGCAAACACATTGTTTGTAAGTCATTTTTGTACCATAATTAATTTTAAATACGGTACTATAAAAACTGTTTAGTATTTAGAACTGAAAATGCTATAAAATTTAGTCATTAGATAGTTAAATTAAATTACTATTAATACAACGGAAAAAAAAAAACTTTTTAGTCCTGAAATTAGTATAGTTCCTAGTCATTGTTTTCCTTAATTGGAAGTTCTTAGTCTTTTTTATATGTTTAATCTGCTAAAGTTCTTTTAACGATATTATATGCCTTTCAACTTTTGATCTTCAAAAAATATTTCTCTCGTCTTGTATAAAAGCAAGAGTGTTCAAAAGAAACCTGCTGGTATGTTTGTGCAGGCTAGGATATTGGACATTGCTAGTCATTTACAAAAGAAGGATAAATCACAATACCACTAGATAAAATAATAACGCTGGTAATTAAATAATGGTAAATTAAACAATGGTAATTATAATTCTATTAACTTACAATAGCTAGTAAAATATTTATAAAAATAGTTTGAGGCTCTGAACAATAACTTTTTTAACGAGAATTTGTTTTTTGCGGGTAAATTATAAACTTTGTTTATCCCAATGATCATGTAGATTATGTCAGATTCTCGATCATGCAGAGTGTTAACGTAGGCCAAATGAGCAACCAATCATTTGCAAACGCAACACATTTTTATGGTGTTCAAATATTTTTGGTGTGATAGAAATTATGGATACGATTAGCAAATTTTTGCTAAATTAATAGCTATGGATATGGTTAGTAATTTTAAAAACTTTTTATACCTTTTTTTGTAAATATTCATAAACGCATTCTCTTTCCCGACAAACCATACGAGATTCTTTGCATGTGCAGGAAAGATCGCTTGAGCAATAAGATTTAAACACACCTCGACACTATTAATAAAAACGAATATTTTTTATTTTAAGAAATAAAATAAAAGGATACATCTAACATATAAAAATAAAATAAAAAAGTGTTATAAAACTTTGAAAAAAAAATTCAATTTAAATCAAATGTGCCTACCGTTTGCTTTTTCATGAAATCCTCAATAGTTTTAACCTCTGAACAAATATGGTTGTTCACGTCACAAAAGTAAGTTTTAGGACAATCCTGGTTTGTAATACAAAAACTATTTTTCTAAAAGAAAAAAAAAATTATATTGTATCATGTAATTTATAATTCGTCATAAAAAAATACAATAGTGGTAATGTAACTGAAAGGCCTAAAAAGTGTTGTTTTTACTTAAAAATAAATTAACATCGATTTCTATTTAGCTATATAACGTATAACCTGCGACTTACTATGTTTTCGTTAGACAGAATCTTCACGCATTTTTTATCTATACATAATTCGTCAAGTTTACACTCCTCATTAATTGTGCATTGTTTCTAAAATATAAAATTAAAATCGAGTTTTTTTTCCTCATAAATATACTGTATAAAAACTAGAATATAAATTACAGCAGTGAAAAATTCATTTCAGTGCTGGCAAATGCCGTAAAAATCTTTATTTTAGTTACCTTTGGCAGAGCGCTATTAAACAAAAAATGAAAAAAATGAAAGAGTATGTAAGGTCCCTTTTTCATTTTTTTTTTTTTTTTAAATAGTCACCTTATAGTTATAAATATTACAACGTAAATAATAATATTAAAATTGATGAAAAGAAAACAAACAAAAAACCTGAAAAGGATTGGACACCACCTTTTGCGTACTCAATAAGAAAATGATTGTTCCACAAATGAATTTCATTTTTTACTAAATGAAAAAAACAAACCAACTTAACAAAGTGAAATAAAGCCATGCTAACATAAGTCAGGTAAACGTCGTGTTGACGTTAATCGGGTGAACGTTAAATAAACGAGTTTACAGTTTTCAGTGTTATATTCAATGAAAATATAACACTGAATACTGAAAACCATCATAGGCATTTTAAGGCTAAAAATTTAACAGATTGAATGGCGCGTACCATACCGTTTATTATTTCAATATACTTAATTTAATGATTCATTTCATCATTGGCATCATTGTTACACGTATAAAAATAATAGGTTATAAATTGCGGATGATCGCCCAGTTATGCAGTCTATAATTAGGTTGTTTTTTTTAATCTATAATTAGATGCTAATCTTATGAACTTGTTTTTATAAATATAATGATATCAATTGCGTGTAGTAAAAAAAACCTTAAGGCTTAGTTTCCCATTAGCCGATTAATTGGTTTCAAAGTAATTATAATTTGAATATTATCGAATATAGAAAAATAAACTATTTTTCATTTTACTTTTTTGTTTCGTATCTTTTGTATAGTATGTTTTGGATGTTTCGTATTCGTATGTTTTGTACAGATTGTTAATAAATACAACCGCTTATGACAAAACTTGCTGTTATTATTAACAATAAAAGCCATCGCTTCTTCAATCTATATTTGAAAACTAATTTCACAAACAATTTTCAAACTGATGAATAAAATTTGATTTTATTCGTTGGTAAAAAGTTTTTATGCTAAAAAAAACTATATATAAATAAAAAATATATTTTTCCATATAAAATCTAAATTTTTCCATATACAAAATTTGAAGGTTGAACATGAATTTAACTTTATATATAAAAATACTATTATGGAACCGGACTTTAAATATTTTTGGTTTCTTTAAAAGTCTTCAGTAATGGAAAACACGTTGCTATGGAAAGAAGAGAAAAACAAAATATTGACCTACTGAGACGTCTGTAAGAATGGAGATTTTTTTTAATATAAATTTTAAAAAATTTTAAAAATTGAAATTTAAATTTAAATTTAAAAAATTTAAATTTTTAAATTCTATAGAGTGCTTTTTTTCTAATACAATATAATTCTAATACAATATAAATGAAAGATATATATATATATATATATATATATATATATATATATATATATATATATATATATATATATATATATATATATATATATATATATATATATATATATATATATATATATATATATATATATATATATATATATATATATATATATATATATATATATACAATGGCATGTAGATAGCAGTAACCGTACAAACGTCACCTACCGTTTATAATTGTAAAAAAAATTCGCATCTATATTTTTCACGATACTATGTTAAGCACAAACGCATTACATATAAATGGATTCTTTATAAAACGAATCCTACCCAGTTTGAAAAAGGGTCTCTAAATGTAAATAAAAACGAGACAGATTAAAATATGTTTACTTAAAATGACCGTTGTTGACATTAGTAATTTTTCAAATTACAATGAGTCTTTGACTCTTCAAAGAATTCATTCTTCGGTGATTCATAAAAAACACTCAAAATTTTTGCTATTGTGCTCAAAAATTCTTCGGTGCTTTTTTTAAGGTTTTTTCTTTTTCTTTAATTAAGATTGCTGATTCATGACGTCTTTGTGTTTATCAAGCTAATAGTTGAGAAATATTGAGGGGTGAAGAACACTAAATCAATAAGAACAAAGTTAGCATTGCTGGTGGGAATTGTTAAAATTTCTAGTTTTATAAACATACGTAAATATATATTGTTAAAAAAGATGAGAAAATCACACGGTTTTGCGTAAAGAAACATTCTTTCTGACTGTTAATTTTTTTTTTAAACTTTTTCGTGTGAAAGATGACTCAGTAGAAAAATAACAATGCTTAACATTTTCTTTGACATCTTTATACGGCTACGCAGACTTCATTTTAATTACGTCGCACAACACAAGCATTTAAGCAACACAATTATGTTGCCTTTGCATCTAGACCAGTTAGATATACTATTTTAAAAAAACACACACTGAAATGACTCAATGGTAAAAGTTTACATATTTCAACTAATATTGTAAAAACCTCGTCTTAAGAAATGCTTTCTTAAATAACCGGTTTTTTTTAAAATAACTTTGTTTAAAGTTTAAACTTTAAACTATCTAATGTTAAAATATAAATAAAAAATAAAGACCGTTTTTTTCGCAATACACGTTTAAAAAAATGAAAACTAGTCATGTTTGAATGTTATTTTAACATTTCAGTGAATGCAGTTTAAAATTGTTGTATGTTGCCGTGTGTTAAAAATGAAACTGTATTATTTCATTTATTTATTTTATATGAAAATTTTATTTCATGGTTTTTTTTTTAATTTAAAAAATCATATGCTTTCAAACTTACAATATGTTTATAAATGTTAGAGCACATCTTTTTTTTCTACAAATGATTTTTAATCATTAATTAACAATGTTTAACTAGTCAAGAGTGAAAAAACATAAAGATACTTTTTACGGCAAGATTTGAAGTGTTTAAGTGTGAGGAAGCGGACGTTTTTTAACAAGTACTTCCGAAGATTAAGGGTCGATTGAAAGCATAATTCCTTGCAAATAAACTTCAAATCAAATAAATATAGCTTATTTTTTAGTAGTTCTAAACTTGTTAAAAAAAAAAGTTTAAGAAAAAAATATTTGCTAATAAAAAAAATATTTAGAAAAGAGAATAAGAATAGTTTAAAAAGAACTTCAAATTTCTCCGCCTTCACACCCCTTTTTTTGAGTGTATACATTTTTACAATGAAACCTATTACAAAAATAAAAGAATGTTAAGTACTGTTAAATTATTAGCGTGTACAGAAGTGGTTTTTAGTAGGTTTTGGAGTATTGCATTTTAACGTAAATAAATCTTTATTTGAAACCATTTATATATTTTATAAACAAATATTTCATCATGTTTGGTTGCGTAACCCCCCAAAAATCAAAAAACTACGTCAAGGACAAGTCAAATAAAGGTACTCTTTTTGTAGTACGTTTATACAAAAGAAGAAGGAAAATTAAGGAAATTAAAAAATTGCCAATAATGATTTGCTTGGAAGAATTTATTGGAAATTCTTTTTCAGTCATGCAGCCAAATTTTCGAAGCAAAAATGAGCTTGGGACTAGAAAAGAGTGGAGACGAAGTCGAACATTAAAAAATAACTATAGACAAACTTTTTAATCTTTTTAATATAATGCATGTACTGTACTAAACAAGTTTTAACAAATAAAGCATCATTTCGGGTACTGATTCCATCCGCTAAAATTGACAGTAGATTAGGGACAAGCGAGTAATTAACAACATATAAACAAAAATGTTATTTAAAAACTAATAAAATTATAAAAACACGTAATCTTCATCGAAATATTTAAAAGATTTCCACAATAAAAATACAAAAAAGTGGGAGAAATGGGAGATTAATTAATTTTCTTTGTCCCACTTCACTCCTCAAAAAATCGCTTTGTGTGGGTAGTTTTCAAAAATGTGATTTTTACTACATGCAAGGAGACAAAGCGATGTCCGTTAGTAACAATCTGTAGTCTGATGTAGTTTTTGGGGTAGTATCAATCTGTAGACAACAAACAAATACTAAAAACTATTTTTGTTCCAAGTATAAGAAATTTTTGGATTAGCATTGATTTATGGGAAGTATCTCAACTTTTAAACCTTGTTTTATCTGTTTCGCAAAAATGCTAGTTACAACTTTTTTGTTTTAAGCTCGCAAGAGAAAGTGTTCACTACCTCATCAACACTGCTCTGTGGAAACTCGCAAGAGAAAGTGTTCACTACCTCATCAACACTGCTCTGTGGAAGCTCGCAAGAGAAAGTGTTCACTACCTCATCAACACTGCTCAGTGGATCCGGAGTATTTTAAGTAAAAAGTTCTTATACTAAAAAAGTTCTTGTGTCTCTTGATTGATTTAAATGTTGATATTTTTTAGGAATTAATATTAAGTAAATAAGTAATTTACAATTTTTTTAAAATTTATTAATTTAGTTATTAATCAAAATATTGTAAAGAGGGGATTTACAACTAATTGATAATTTAAACAAAACATCTTTTTCATTTGCCAATAAGTTTTGCTTTGGTTTAAAAGATTTTCTTTTAAATTGAACTAAAATGTATTGGCAAATAAAAGATACAAATGATAATAATATCAAAGATACAAATGATAATAAAATAAAAAAATACAAGTGATAATGAAATGAAAGATACAAATGATAATAATATAAAAGATACAAATGATAATAAAATAAAAAATACAAGTGATAATGAAATGAAAGATACAAATGATAATAAAATCTTCAAAAGGTTTGATGTTAAAATCTTTTAATAAATTTTTCAAGACATTTAGAATGTTAGAGCAAAAAGGTAATGAATTGCTAATGAAGTCATTTTTTTGTAGCCTGTCAGAAATATTTAGCAAAGTCGATTATTTTATTATTATTACATTTCTTTATATGCTTGGTGAAAATGTAATCAAACCTTTAAAATAATAAAACTTATAAAAATAAATTAAAAAAATCCGGACGAAGTTGAGCAAAAATCACACAGTTATACTTTTTTGAACCATTGAACAATTACCTAGTCGGCACCGGACCTAAAAAAGACGTCGAGCAAAATCGAGCAAAAATATATACTTTTTGTACATATTTATGCTCATGCAATGCGAAGTTTTTTTGCCAGACTGTCTTACCCCACCCCCTCCTAACATTTGTTAACTATTGAGATAAATCACACAAAAAGTTATATACTATAGTTATTTCGAAAAATGATGTATCATAGTTACCTCAATGTTTTACTATAGTTTTCAAATAATCCACTACGTGACGCGATTAATCCACTACGTGACGCGATTAATCCACTACGTGACGCGATTAGACTAAATGATTTAATGATCAGTCAAAGAAAACAAAATTGAGTCATTCGCTGTACATTCGTAATGTACAAACAATTATGATGTATACAGCTAGTAAATTAAACTATAAAAACAACTGTTAATTTGTTTTGCTGATTTTAAAACAATTTTCTACAACAAAAAAATTCGAAGAAACTCAATAATCGCAACAACAAAACAAAAACGATGCAAAATAAGAAATATATATATATATATATATAAAACTTTTGATTGACAAATGTAACAATTGCATTGGAAAGCTAAGATTAAGTTTGTATATAATTAAAACATGTTAGCTTAAACTGTTAGCTTTTTAAGTAAAGTTTCTTTGAATTTTCGTTTGTTGAAACTTGTTTTTTAAGACAATAAAAGAAATGAGTAAATTATAACCCGGTAAATCTGATATTTAACTCGGAGCACTGATTAACTCGAACTGTTTTTTCAAGTCCCTTTAATGAATTTTTTTTTTTTTTTAAATTCAAAATTTGGTCTATTTTTAAATACTTAATTCTCAATAAAAGATTTTTTAAATAATGATTTATTAAAAACCAAAACGCAGTTATTTAACAAACGGTAACGGTTACTAGTGCAAATATCACACTAAATTTTTTAACAATAAACAAAAAAAAAAAATTACAGAATCATATTTGTTGCAGGTAGAACTCGTTTTTTCCCAAAATAATATCAACCTTATTTAAAAACCATTTTTTTGGTAAAATAAGATTTTTGTCACGGTTTACCCCACTAATGAAAAATTTAGGATCTAGCAAACAGTAATTTTATTCTAAGTACTGGAATAAATAAAAAATAAGTAAATACCCAACCTCTAAGTATTTTGGCGAAATAACGGATGTTCCGTCAAATATTTATCTAGATTAAAAACATTAAAAACAAATTTAAATAAATTTCATAACATGAAGTTAAGTTTTTAGAGTTTTATAGAGTCAAACAAACTCAATTGGTTGGCATAGCCACAAGCTAAAAAACAGCACAGTTATAACTTTTTTGCGGAGAGATTTTTGAGAAAACTCCCAAACATGAACTAAACTACAAACATTCTATACACATGCTTATAATATTTGCAGGAAATTAAGACGATCGAAGCCTGAGTAGAAAAAATTCTAAAATTGCCTTATTTGCCCTCCCCCCCTCCACCCTTTATCTAGATCAAGATCTCTTTTAGAGGTAGGAGAGAGGTGAGTTTTAGAATCTTTTATTATGTTTTATACATTTATTTTATACCTTTGAGATTATTGCAAACGTAAAGACAATGAGTTCATAGTTTTTTAAACTATATTTTAACTAAATTTATTATCATCGCTAAATTTTAAATTTCATACAACAATCTCTTACTATTTGAAAATTATTACCGTATAAGTATTAAACCACCTTGAGGGATTTACGAACTAATGTAGAGGAGACTTGAACTAAATGAATCATCTTTTTCATGTTTTCGGACTTAAAGGAGACCGTCAGAATAGAGGTTTGATAAGAGAGCTTACCCTTAAAATTAAATTT